ATAATTCATGAGGTTAAAAAAAGACCTGTGATGTTTGTAAATACACTGATGGAAATTGTTTGTAGAAAAGTGTTTTAAGTTTTTCACTGGGTGCATTTGGACTTGCAAATGTGAGTTTATCTTTTCATATTTGAGTCTTAATAGTATATGAAAGTCTGTGGTCTGTGCCGTGTTTGCTTAAGGTTGATGGTTGATATAAGCTTCTACGGTTGTGCAATGCGGCAGTTAAGGATGAACGGTTTGATTGACAGCCCAATGGTTAAGGACTGATGATCAAGGCTGAATCATTGACTACAATGAAGTCCTCTGTTGTACAATGACACTTTCTTACTTTTTAAATGTGATGTTTTATAGGCCTATCAGTGGCTGTAAGAATTTAATTGCTTGTATTTGCGAATATGTGGTGCGATGTCATGTGAGCTCTCCAGCTGCATGAGGGGTCAAGTAATGTGGTCACGTCGCATTCCAGTCAGACACACTTGCCACGCGACAGCAGCAACACGATCCTCGGAGCGGAACACCACACACAGACACACACACACACAATAGTTTAACTGATCTCTGTCACGCTTTCTCCGCGCGTTTTATTATATTACAGCTACACCTCTGTGTGTTTTGTGTTGTCACCTAAATGCCTCCATTTTCCACCAATGCAGTGTCTTACTCTTTCTTTCCCTCGCCTGTCTGAACTTCTGCTAATCAAAGTGACATTTATTCTGTAGCTGGTAAAATGAGGATCGCTTTATTTCAATTTGCTGATTGTATGTGTTACTGCATCCAGTAGATGACGCTGTGAGCCGGACACTTCATGGTTATGTTCAAATAGCATTGTAAAATATTAGTTATATTATTTCCGATGCTTAAGTATACTTATATTTTTTATCGACAGTGTATCAGTACACAACAAATGAGGCAACACAAAACCGAAACTTCCATTTTAGCAAAGAAAATATGCATCTTCCAATACAATAAATAAATAAATAAAAATGTCTTTCTTTACATGTACACATCTCCATGCATCAAACATTTGAAATATCAAAATAAATATAAAAAATAACAGAAAAAAACTTTTGCTTAGCCCCAAATTTGTTTTCCCATTGATTCACTAACACCTTTCCTGTCCGCATGTTGAGAGAAAATGGGAGTGACATACAGACGAAGAGACATTTTCTTCAGCTAGAGGCTTATTAATTAAATTTTTTGGTGTGAAAGAGTTTTTTGTTATTAAAAAACAAAATAAGCAACCCCACCCCAGGTGACAAAAAGTAAAGCAAAAGTAATGCAATGCATTACTTTCCATAAAAAGCAGCTAAGTAATGCAATTAGTTACTTTTTCTATGGAGTAGCACAATATTGTAATGCATTACTTTTAAAAGTAACTTTCCCCAGCACGGATAGCTACCTGAGTTGTTTTCCCATTGATTCACTAACACCTTTCCTGTCCGCATGTTGAGAGAAAATGGGAGTGACATACAGACGAAGAGACATTTTCTTCAGCTAGAGGCTTATTAATTAAATTTTTTGGTGTGAAAGGGTTTTTTGTTATTAAAAAACAAAATAAGCAACCCCACCCCAGGTGACAAAAAGTAAAGCAAAAGTAATGCAATGCATTACTTTCCATAAAAAGCAGCTAAGTAATGCAATTAGTTACTTTTTCTATGGAGTAGCGCAATATTGTAATGCATTACTTTTAAAAGTAACTTTCCCCAGCACGGATAGCTACCTGAAATTGAACTGTGATCCCAGGAGATGCAGAACAGTTTAGTTATATTCTGTTAGCCAAAGGGGAAACCTATATTAGTTTGACAGCATAATCTGAAGTAGTAATACTAATACTTTTTTCTACTAATACTCATAATACTTCTTGTACTATGGTTTTTTAGGCAGGTTGTAATGAAATTATCCCACATAACCCGCATACAGTATAACATTAAAAAATTGACCATCCTTTGGTTTCCAATCTCTGGATGCTGAAATGATTACATCCAAATGTGAACACACCTTTATCCACTCCATCTTGGCAAACAAACTGTGAAGGTACCAAGACCCTAGGCAATCAGACTACCTGCTGGCTTGTAGTGTCCCTTTCATTGTACAGAGTGATGCAAATTTTCTGGGCCAAACCGAAAGTAAGCATCACCCTGGTTCCCTCAACAAAAACTCAATAGGACTTTTCCATTGGCTTTTGAATTATTGCAGGTAATAATCTCTGTAACCAATGTTTATGATTCTTACACGTTCTGTTCACTATGGCAGACTTCACAAATGAATACAACTTTTATGAATTATGAAGCCAAAATAAAAAAGTTTACCTGTTTGGCATGATGTTGTTTAATGTCCCTGACAACCCCTTTAGTCCCTTTTAGAGACTTGTTAGCATTACTGATTAATTTTATGTTGTAGAGTAAAACATGAAAATATCTTAAGCTTGCGTTAATCACAAACATTATTTTTGCATTTAACCAAAAAAACTGGCTTCAGGATGATGGAACCAGAAGTGCTAAAATGCAAACTTGTTTCTGGGTTTTGGTTTTTAAAAAAATAAAATAAAAAATTATCACTGCAGCACTATTTTCCATTGAACTGAATGTCCAAAACACTTGTACTGAATGGGAGCAAGCAATTGTTTAATCTAAAATACAAAATATGCAAACATATGTACGTTTTATGTATAATATTGAATTGCAGTTTCCGAATTAGGTCATTGTTGGCTGTCGGTTGTTTAACACATCCTGCCAAATTCTCTTTTTGTCACCCCCAGCCATGTATCATCTCCTTTCCCTTGTTCTTTCACCTGTACCCGTTATTTTCCAGGCTCCTGTACCTCTCAAGGTGCTCTTTCCTGTCAACCTCTCAATCTGGAGGCCATCTGCAGGGGGCTTAACCGTGTCATTAGAGATAGACCACTCTCCCTGGCTTCTCCATGGCTAACTCAAGGCCCAAACTTTCCCTGCCATCCCCAGCTCCCTGAGGGCAGAGCAGAGAGTAAGAGGCTAGGCAGAGGGGAGGGATAGAGGGGTGTAAGTATCCCATGTTAGACCCCCATGGGGGTCTCAGACCTGCGGGGCGGATCAGGGAGGAAGTCTCCCCCGAGACCGACCGGCCCTCTCTTTTGTCTTACAGTGGCGGGAGAATGGAGAAGACGTACCGGAGAGAAACAGAGGGAGGGAAAGTGATAGGGGAAGGAGGGAAGGAAAGCGGGACAGCTGTGGGAATGACAGGTTTGGGCTAACGCCGTAGCACGATAAGATTTGGGACTCACCACGTTGATACTTGTAATGCGTCAGTTCACAATTAAAGAGACAATTATTCTGTTACGGTGAGCTATTATTTTCAATAGAAGACATATGCAAACTGTATTTGATCCAGGTGTCTTAAAGCGAGTGACATATGCTGTGTTTGTGTATTAGTTAGCGTTGTAGCATCAAGGGTGGTGACAATGTTAATTCAAGGGACGAATCTTAATGTTTTCTTTTACAATTTGAAAGTACCAAAAACTTAAAAAAGGAAGCATTTATTTTTGAAAAAAAGTGTGATTTTAATGAATTCAGTCATAATCCTGCATCTAATATCAAAGCCTTTCAATCACAAAGAATAAAAAATGTACAAATTCATGACTTAATATCACAAAGCTATTAAAATATATAATATATAACCCGTAGAGGTGAAGTTGTTGTGTTTCTTGTAAATATGGGGCAAGTTGGGTTATCAATCCTCAAAAATGGCTAAAAAAAAGTCCCCCCCCCCCCCCCA